GGACATAGACACCTTGAATTAAGGAAAGACTAAATTAAGACAGAGCTTGTGACATTTGATATGTTTATGAGTCATGTAGGAAGTTTACTAAAATGCACATTTCTTGATTTCATTCCCAAAGAGTCTGAGTCTATAATCTGGAGTGAGCCTAGAAATCAGCATGTATCTGTCAGGAGGTGATGGTCTATAGATGACATTTTTTTAAAGGTTTGTGTCATAGGGCACATGCACTCGATAGAGAGAAACAGAGAAAGAGAGTGAAAGAAGAAATTATCCCCGGGGTCGGGGGGAATGGCCACACAGCAATCCCTTCCTCTCCATTCTCCTTCTGGGATTTGGGGCACACATTCACATACACCCAACATGACTTTCAAGCCACCAGGTCCAGGATTCAAACTGCAGCCAACAATATGGGAGCCCAGGGCCTTAATCTCTATGCCACATGCTGGCTCCCATAGATCACATTTTAAGAAAGACAACCTCAAAAAAAAGAGGATAATGGTATAGATACATCCACCCTCTTTTGGATCTTGGTCTGGGTAGCTTGAATGTGGCTTTGCTCCATCAGGTGGTGAGTTGATTTGGGACAGACATTGAACCCTAACAACCTTGACTGTGACATGACTTAGCTTGTCAGGTAGGCTCTGACATTGGAGGGAAAATCTCCACAGGCAGGTTGTTAATGCCAGAACTAACCTCCTGTATCTCCTTCCCAGTGAAACCCACATAGGATAGGAAATGGATAGGATAAGAGTATGCCCAGCCTATGCCATGGCAACTGGGGGCAGATGGTGAACTGGGGAGAACTAAGAAAACTCCTAAAGACTTTACATGGAACAAATCATAAAATTGCATCCAAGTGATTAAAAACTGTAAGTGAAGAATTCATCAGTATAATGAATCAAGTATTGTTTTCCTTTTTAAATTTTTGTAGAAATTGCTTTTTAATTTTCTTTTATAATTATATATTGTTACATGGTTTCAAAGTCAAATCTATAAAGTAAGAATATTTTAAAATGTCTATTTTGTTTTTTTTTTTTTTGGAGAGGTTTTTGCGCTAGGGTGTGTGTGCGCGCCGGAGAGACAGAGAGAGACAGAAAGCGAGAAATCACCCCTCAAGGGGGATGGCCACGCCTCAATCTCTTCTCCTCTATTCTCCTCTTGGGATCTTGGGCACACACGCACATGCACCTGGCGTGAGTCAGGGTCTGGGACTTGGACCATGGTCTACTACATGGGAGTCCAGCGACATAGCCATTACGCTAACTACTTGTCCCTAAAATGTCTAGTTTTTATCCCTATTCTCTTTTCCTTTCCTATATTACCTTAAAGAGTTTATGTGTATATATGAATAAAAAGTTTGCATATATATAAAAATACATATATAAACCTTTTCTTCGATAAACATTATGCATACCTTTCTCCACCTTAAATAAGCTTTCTTGACCTTGCCATTTTATGACATTATGTGGCAAAATGCATTTAGAGTTAGAACTAACCAAATAGCAAACTTTTTTTTAATTTAGATTTATTTATATACATTCATTTACTGTACATTATTATAGCATACAAAATGAGATTTTCCATCCAGAATACATGGTATATTGGCTCAATCAAGCACATCAAAATATGTGTTATTGTTAAAACACAGCCTCTTTATAAGTTAGCACTCATATCAACTTTTGTTCAATAGTTCTTTCATTCAATAAACATTTACCAAGTAACTGCGATGGGCCCAAGATCAATTATAGGTTTTGTGGATTCTAAAGCTTCTGTTCAATTGGGGCAGGGTGTCTCTTTAATAAAAAGAATATAAAACTATGAATACACTCTGCAAGTCTCAGCAGTGACCTACCATCTCAAGGTTCTGTGTCAACTTAGCTAGCTGCATGGGCCTGTGCTAGGAGCCGTACTCATGGCTGGTACACGAAGCAGACATGATCCCTTATTTTATGGAGCAGCGGAGAGGTACTAAACATACAAAGCACAGCATAAATATACAGTTACAAACTATATTTAAATTCCTATTGTGGGCTGAGTTCTGCCCCTCCCCGCCCTATTCACATGTTGAAGTCCTAATCTCCAGCACCTCAGAAAGAGACCAGATTTGGAGAGATGGTCTTTAAAGAGGTAATTACATTAAAATGAGGTCACTAGTGTAGGGCCCTAAGACAGTCTGACTGGTGTCCTTATAAAAAAGGGAGATTAGGGGGGACCAGCAGTTAGCATAATGGCTATGTCGCTGGACTCCCATGTAGTCGACCGCAGTTCGAGTCCCGGACCCGGTGGCTTAAACTCACGCCGGGCGCGTGTGCGTGCGTGCCCAAGATCCCAAGAGGAGAATGGAGGAGAAGGGATTGTGGCATGGCTATCCCCCCTGGGGGGTGATTTCTCGCTTTCTGTCTCTCTGTCTCTCTCTTTCTGGCGAGTGCACACGCCCTATAGCAAAAACAAAAACCTCTCAAAAAAAAAAAGGAGATTAGGACACACCATACAGCTGAGAAGACCACATGCAGACAATTAACAATCATCTAGGAGCCGAGAAGAGAGGCCTCAGAAAAAGCCAACCTGCCAACACCTTGATCTCAGACTCCTAGTCTCTAGAATGATAAGAAAATATATTTGTTTGGTAACCACCCAGTTTGGTAGTTTGTTATGACAGCCCTCGAAGACTAATAGAATTCCCTAAGAGAAAAGAACGTTTGAGAGAAAACATTGTTAGAGGAGTGGAGAGGATGTAGGTCAGAGGCTAGGTTGCTGAAGAAATGCCTAGAAGCTTAGATCTGAAAAGATGAAAATGATGAGCTATGGAGAATAAACAGATTTACCCTCTGTTAACAGGCAAAAGAAATCAAACTGTTTTTGCTTCAGTTAATTATCCCACAGTCTACAGAACCAGAGAGTCCTCAGGAGACAGCCAATCTTTCTCAATTAAGTAATGTGAAGCCAACTTCATCACAGTCCTCAGATTCTGAAGTATTGAAGGAGCATGACATTTCATTGCTAATCATAAGACAAAAATGTGTTTGATATTATGCACACCCTGATTTGAGGCCATTTCTGAAGAAAATGAGTATTTTGAAATATGTAATGCAAACACTACTAAGAAAAAGAATAAAGGAAATTATGTCCTTCCTCATAGCTCATTAAGCAGAATACGAAAACTATAGACCATGAATATGCAGAGCAAAAAAAAAACCCAAATCATGACTCTGGTTAGTCCAAGCTAATGCGTCATATGAATTGCTTTAGCACAATGATTCTTGTAACACCCTATTCCACATTGAAATCACTTGGAAAGTATTTTTATAATATCAATGCCTGGCTCCCATTACCAGAAATTGATCTGGGATGGGACAAAAGTGTGGCATCTACTCTAAAGTCAGTCAGTCAATATATTTCTTCCAGAGGAGGTGATAGAGGCCAGAATGGTATCAAGAGACACTGGGTCCCCAGGACAATGGTGCTGTTATATGATGGGATGTAACTCCAAGAGAAATTCAAAGTGATATTCTTATTTTCTAGGGAGGGAGGCTGTGATTAACAAAGAAACTAATCAGAATGGTAAGTTTAGTTAGTGCCAGCCATCCTGAGCCACCTGGTGGGACTTAATTGCTTTTACATTAATCCTCTTAGGTATAATTGAGCTTTCAAAAGGAACACCTTATTCCAGCTGCGATCTTGAGGTTTCTTTGTCCTGCCCTTCTGCTGATTCCCAACCTACATGTTTGTTTACTTACTTCTACTGAACACTCTACTTTCAACAAACTATTTTCCTGAGTGGTCCAAACCCTTTGAAGTGTATTTTTTAAGTGTTTTATTATTATTATTATTATTATTATTATTATTATTATTATTATTTGACCAGAGAGAGATTGGTGGGGGAGGGCAGTAAGAAAGCAAGCCATTAGGTCCAGGACTCAAACCATGGTCAGCCATGTGGAAGTCCGGTGCCTTAACCACCATGCCACCTGCTGGCCCCTGAAGTCTACTTCTATCTTCAGTACATGGTCACTTGAGCAGCTCCCTAATCCTCAAATGCATTCTTTCTCTGTTTCTTTCTTTCTTCTGCAAGAAGAAGAAAGGGAGAGGGAGAGAAAGAAAGAGAAGACACACCCAATAAGGTCCCCAGATCACAATCCACCCACAGCATCAGACATCCCTGATTATAGGAAGGCAAGTGTAACGGATGTGCATATGAGGCCTTGAGCACACGAACCTGGAACTGTCTCATGTAAGTCCAACATCACAGAGCACTGGTTACCACTATGCTGCTGTTGTTAGCTCCTCTCTGTATTCTGTAGCCAATAAAATATATGACTCAGTCCTAACACATTTTTATTACCCAAGTGGCCTACATTTCTGCTTTCTTGCCTCATAGTAAAAAGGTAACACATTTCCTTCCAGATTTCATTTATTCCAAGTATTTCCTCCAAGTCCTATAAACATTCTATCATTCTCTTTGATAAAAATAAAATTATTTAAAAGTCTGCGATCAGAAATAATATTTTGTACCACACTTTATTTTTATGTTTAGATATTTACTCAACTGTTCTCCTCAGACTCAATAAACCAGCCAGACAGCCACAGTCTCTCTTAAATGAAAATGCATAGCTTTAAGAGCTATTTGACATGCAATAACTGTGTAGTCTTCTAGCCAAGCATAGAAATCACTAATGTCCGCCCTTGAAAGAAATGAACTGTGCAAAAAATTTCAAACAAACATGATCCAACTGTTCACACAAAAAGGAGGTTGCATAAGAAATTCATTGTGTTTCTATCCCAATCTTCCCCCCTTAAATTGCCACAGATCAGCATGTATTTCACCTCTTTGCCACCAGTTAAAACCATAAACAGATGAGCTTTTCAACAGAGGTGGGCCAACATGCCCTCTTCACAGATGGTCAGCATCACATGTCTCAATAATCATTCAACACACTGCAAAGGTACTGTATAAAAGTGGGAGGACTCAGGTCACCTCAGCACCAGTTACTCTGGTGTAGAACCCTCTCTTGTTTCAGATGGATTTCCTTCATAGGAGTGGAGTTCTCATTATTCAGCATTTGCAAAATGACTACCGGACTTACTATAATTTCCTAAATTTTATGTCCAATGTTGGAGACCCCCGGAATAGTTTTTCTATTTATTTTCCACTGTGGTTTCAACTTAATCACACAGTTGGAACCAAGATGATATGGGTAGCGGTCATTGGGGACTGGTTCAATCTTATATTTAAATGGTAAGATTTCTGTTTTATTTCACGTTTCCTAAAACGTTTTTTTAAATTTGTGGCTTTGGTTTAATAATCAAATTTTAAATGCATCTATAGTAGTTGTGTTTTTAAAAATAATTATTTGTTTAGTTTTATTTGTTTATTATTATTCTTCAATTTGATCAGAGAGAGATGGAAAAAGCAAGCCACCAGGTCCAGGACTCAAACCATGGTCAACCATGTGGGAGTCCAGGTCCTCAATCACCATACCACCTGCTGGCTCCATGTGTAATAATTACATTTGGAAAATCTTTCAAAAATATCAGCTAACTTGAGGTATCAGACTTATAAATAGAACATACAAAAAGCATAGAAACATATACTTTAACTGACTTGTAAGTAAATTCCAAAACCCTGTAACACATATTCTGTGATTAATTATGATGTAGGTAAATGAGCAACACTGTAATGAACAGATTGACAATTCCAGGGACCATGCTGATATTCCCAAAGTAAGTACCCAAAGCACACATAGGACTTCCGCAAGGCAAGATGTCCTGTGTTTATAGGGCCATAGCATGTCAAAACTCCGAAAGAGTTTTGGAGTTCCGTAATGAGGAAAAGACCAGAACCAGAGTTCTATCAAAGTCTCTTAAGCATGAACTTTACCCACCTACCCTTGCTTAGTCATCTTTACAGAAGAGAATAGCATGTCTTTAACTAAGTAATAATTATATATTAAAATATGTGTCTGAATATTTATATTTTTTAATACAGGATATTATTTGGTCATCGGCCTTACTGGTGGATCCAAGAAACTCATATTTACCCGAATCACTCAAGTCCATGCCTTGAACAGTTTCCCACTACATGTGAGACGGGACCAGGTAAGCAATTATAGCAATCTCAAGTTACTGATGATATTCAGAGAGCTAGAATATAATATCATATAATGTATTAAATAAAATGTCATGGGTGAAGATGCTAGAAGTTCAAAATTACTAATGAGAAAGGAAAGAAGTTTTATGAATAATCAAATTCCATTTTGTTGTTTTTAAAAGGGTATTTTGGGAGAATACTCCCCATGTAATCTTGTGTTTGGGCACTTACTTTTTGAAAGAATGTAATGGTTTGGTACTAAAACAAAAGAAAGATAGCTAAAACAAATTCCCAAATAATTATATTAGTATCCTAGAAATGTTGGTTTATTTTCTGCCGAGAAACACTCAAGGCTATTGCAGGTCTTCTGAGAATCTCATGAGTTCAAGGAAGAATAAAAAAAGTTTTCCGTTAGATAAGTAAGAACTTCCCAATATTACCATTGCTAGTAGATATCTCTAAATTTGGAACTATTTCTTTAACATTTGTTTTCTTCTCTTTTATGTATAGTATGTAAGTAGACTTTTTTGGGTCACTTCAGTTTTTTATTCTAAGAGTCTTTGTAAGTATAAAATCTTTACTGTGGACATAGAATTAAGATTATAAAAATATTTTTAAAAATATGTATAAAGTACCATTTTGTGTTGTTTTAATTTATGAAAATGTGTTATATTGTTTCTTACCCCAGTTTGCTAGGCAGCATAAAATTCTTGCCATTTGACATCCTTTGAAATTAACCCTGAATACAGAGAATATCTAAGTTCCTAATGAGTTTTCTAAATATCTTTCTTTTTTTATTCCTGTATATTACAATTAATTTTTAAAAATATATTTGGCTGCCTAGATTGTGTTCCATCAGGGTAGAGATAATATATATCTGGATGGATGGATGGATAACCTTTGAGACAACTGAAATGCTATTCTGGTCTATTCTAGCACTTATCAGCATGTGTTCCATTTTATGAGACCTTTTCTGGAAGGAAGAGGTGGAGGGAGCGGGGGAGGAGAGAAGAATAGACAGAGCATACTACTCAAGCATATAAAAAACTCTGAAAATACCTGCAAATAAGAACTAGGTTTGTTTTTGTTTAACAAGTGATTGGTGTTTTGTTTTTCAGTCAGACTGCTGTTTAACCTGTATAAATTTCTACTAGGTAACTGACAAATCAGGAAGAATGTCAAAAGAAAGGGATAAAAATAAAAATAATAATAAAAAACCAAGCTGCATGGGAAAGCTATTTTGAAAGTAAAAAAGCTACCTGTCTGCAGGCTTTTTCTGCCAGGATTAATACCTCCTTTACATCTTCTCCTCATCTTTCATTTTTTAACAAGATTCTCACTACAGCAGCAGTAGATGGACACAAAAGCAGCCAGGTGTCCATGGCAGTAATTAGTAAGTCGGTAAACTATAGATACAACAATAATATCCTTTAGCATTTAACTACTTAGTCCAAGGGGAGAACACTTATTCAAGATCCCATATAAGTACTTTACTTTTATAGTCAATTCAAAACTATTAGATATGAAGAATAAGTAGAGTTGTGGCAGATTTTGGTGCAATAATCTGAATAATTAGCCTTGAATAAACCAGTTTTCTGGAATTCAATGAGCTTGAAAATCTGGAGAAAATGTTTTCTTAAATTGGTGTTTTCAATGCTTAATTTGGCTTAATTTTCCTTATTTCTACATACTTCTAAACGTCATATAATAGCCTGTGTTTTTTTTCTGAATTATTTGTGATTTCCATGGTGAATATGTTGTTCTATTGTCCATGCTGGATCTTGAAACTCCATTAACCACTTCTCAAATAAACGGAAACTTTATTGTTGCAGGAAGTCCATCTGGTCATGCAATGGGCTCTTCATGTGTCTGGTACGTCATGGTAACGGCTGCCCTGAGCCACACTGTCAGTTGGCTGGATAAGTTCTCTATCACTCTGCACAGGTTGGCTTCACTTCCGTTTCTGTAGCATTGGAATATGACATTTCTAATACAGAAAGTCTTTCCTAAAAATTCATTTTAGTGTATTTTTAGTTGTTGAATGAAATGTGCTTATTCTATTTTATGGTAGCCAAAATAGCAAAATGAATAGAAAATTAATATTTTGCTTTAAGATAATGGCCTAATTAGCTCACAGCTATTGCTACTTACAGGGTTGGGACTGTTTAACAGATTAATGAGGTGCTAAATGTGCCTTTCCAAACTATGATAATTATTTGATAGCTCCTAAATAAGTCATCTAAATTATATAAGGAAATAGTTTTGCATGCACATTCCTTTGCTTTAAGATTAACAATTTTGAAAATCGTCATTCCCCTCAAATGCATACTTAGTAAAATTATGCTTCCTTCTTTAAGTAGCTAATGCTTTGGCATCAATAACATATATTCTAATTTTTAAAACTACGCAACTTTTAAAATTAAAAGCTTTCTAGAGGCAAACTTAAATTTGAACGTTAGATTTAATGTTAGTAGATATCTTAATGTTTAGAAAAACTCAGAACATTAATTTAAGATTACTCACAAAGCTGTGGGGTTTTTTTCCTGTTCCTTCTTTTCTTTTTAGAAATCCTTTAGCTATCACTAAGACAATCCTGGGCACTATGTTAGTAATAATTTATTAAGCTATCTGAGATAATATTTGTCGTTAACATTTTGGAAAAACTACTATAGACCTATCTGCGGCAATGTGCACACTGGGCGTTGTTGCTCAGCACTTAAAACAAATAAAAAGTGTGGTGATGCATGTCTATAGTCCCAGCAGTTTAGAAGGCTGAAGCAGGAAGATTAAAGTGGCACCCTGTCTGAAACATCACACACCACATCCCCCCACACATGGCACACACACACATGCTCATACACACATGTGCACACACACATACATGCGTGCACACACACACACACGCACTATATTACATACCATTACATAGAAATTCTTCTAAAATAAAAATTTCCCCTAATCCATTATATATTTCACTTTCAGGAGTATTATTGTTTAGTAAATGAAACAAATGACCAGAGGAATTTGAGCATCTTTAAAGTTTATCCTAATGCTACCGTGACCAGTATGCCTTAATGCATTCATTATCCAACCCAAAACAACAATATAAAGGTGATATAGTTAAAGAAATTAGCATTTTACAGGCCATTTTCAAAGCTATTTCTATAGCTAAAATATTTCTTTTATCTATAAAACTTATTGAGTGCCTACGGCTTACTTTAATAATACTAAATCCTTGCTCATTCTGTTTTTGCATGAATATTTCTTCTCTGAGTCTCATTTCTCTCTAACTCATAGTCTTTCTATAGCCAAACTTTGGTCTTATTATTAGGAATGAACTATTCAAGGATTCCTGCAAAAAAGCATTGCTTATATTTTAATATATTTTTATTAATTTTCTTGCATATTGTTGTTTCCAGTCCAAAGTATATAACCTATAGATCATTTCCCTTGTTCCTTGGTAAACAAGTTTCTTGAGAGTGTTTGAAATTAAGCCCAATGAAGATTTTCCCTTGATGGAATGCTCATGGGCTTTTTATCTGAGTGGCATCTGCCTGTCCAATAAGTTTTCTTTAAGCAAATAAAAATAAGAGATGAGAAGAAGGGCAAAGGAAAAGTATATATGACAGAGAATATATATATCATTTCCCTTGTTCCTTGGTAAACATGTTTCTTGAGAGTGTTTGAAATTAAGCCCAATGAAGATTTTCCCTTGATGGAATGCTCATGGGCTTTTTATCTGAGTGGCATCTGCCTGTCCAATAAGTTTTCTTTAAGCAAATAAAAATAAGAGATGAGAAGAAGGGCAAAGGAAAAGTATATATGACAGAGAATATATATATGTGTGTGTGTGCATATATATTTATATATATATATGTATATATATATTTATACTTAGAGTTTATTCTTGATCATTGTAGATATTAGTTATTCTTTCAAACTTGAATTTCCCCTACTCCATCAGAACAATTATCTTTATGCCAAGAATGTCAAATTAGCTTCCTTTTAGCTTTTATTAAAATCTCAGAATATAGCACTGGTTAAATTTAATGCATCAAGAAATGTAGACACTTTCCTATTAAAGCTTTTCAGATCTTGTGGGCACATGGAAACATTTTTTTTTAAACCTTCTAGAATTATGATGTTATGTCACAACTACAAGGTCCCTCTGAGAAGGATCATCTGGTGTCACCTTCTCTCTTTATTTTATGAATGATACAATTTCCTTGCTTTTTATACTGTATCTATTCTTCCATTGTAGACTGACCTGGTCATTTCTTTGGAGTCTTTTTTGGTTGATTCAAATCAGTGTCTGCATCTCCAGAGTATTCATAGCGACACATTTTCCTCATCAAGTTATTCTTGGAGTAATCGGTGGTAAATATCACTTGCCTTGAGTCATGTCATTTAAAAGCTTTAGCTTCATTTATTTTATGGTTTCCAAATTTCAGAGGTAATTCTGTCAAGCTCCTGATACTAAATGATACCTTGGGAGTGTAAGTCGTTCAACATACCTCTCAGCGAGTCCACATATTCAATAGCAGTCTCATTCAGTGGCATAGATCCATAACTCCTTGGTGACATGGACTTTTCTGGAGTGTGACAAAAACTAAATCCAACTCCCCTACCATCATTTCAGATAGTTACTTGCATCCTAGTTCAGAGTACTTAATAACCATCAGAGTACTGAATAACCATCAAACCTGAATACTGTACCACTGTCTCTAAAACATTTGAAGTGATTGGTGCATGAGTGTCAACCTCATCTGGCATCTGCTTTGTCTAATCATGTGTTTACCACAACTAGGTTTTCGCTGGTCAGCCCCCCTGTATCTTTTAACTGCCCTCTAAGTTAATTGGCTATGGTAGTGGGAAAATGAATTACAGGCACCTAGATCAGTGCTCTGCCTGTAATGTGGGTTGTCACTTGATGCCACTAACTCCTTAATGGTCCTTCTGGACTAACATGAATAGTGAGAGATCATGGGGCAAATGTGTGTTTTTAGTTACTGCCAAAAAAAGGCTTCAGAAAATTGATAGAAGCCATTTACCATTGAAAATGATGGCTAAATTTTTTAATACAGAGATCAATGATTCCCGAGGGGTTCAAGAGCACACGGTCATTGTCAATGTCTCTTTCCAATTCCCAGGCATGCTAGTGGCAGAGGCTTTTGAACATACTCCAGGCATCCAAACTGCCAGCCTCAGCACATACCTGAAGACCAACCTCTTCCTCTTCCTGTTTGCCTATGGCTTTTACCTGCTTCTCAGATTGCTTGACATTGACCTGCTGTGGTCTGTGCCCATAGCCAAAAAGTGGTGTGCCAACCCTGACTGGATCCACATTGACACCACCCCTTTTGCTGGACTCGTGAGAAACCTTGGTGTCCTTTTCGGCTTGGGCTTTGCCATCAATTCAGAGATGTTCCTTATGAGCTGCAAAGGGGAAAATGGCTACAAGCTGAACTTCCGGTTGCTCTGCACCATGACCTCATTAACTACACTGCAGCTCTACCATTTCATCAAGATTCCAACTCACAAAGAGCATTTATTTTATGTGCTGTCTTTCTGTAAAAGTGCATCCATCCCACTGACTGTGGTGGCTCTGGTTCCCTACTGTATTCATATGTTTATGAAACCCAGTGAAAAGAAGATGAAATAGAGTTATGCGGAGAGTCAATGCTCTGTGGTCACAGGATCACCCTTCTCCCCCCACTAGTAGAACCACAAAACAAGGAGAAGCTGTTGAAGGTTTCATAAAGGGTGGTACAGGGCCCATCCCACCCTTATATACATTTACTTTGGCCTTCACAGTGGGTTTTGTTTGTTTTTGTTTTCTAATTCATTGTCAACATTTAAAAACCAAAATATTTAACATAAAAATCTGAATATCTGAAAATGGGTAATATGATAATACATTCCCATCTGGAGACTGGAGTTGACTAATTGTACCCAATAGGCAAAGGCCATCTATATGATCACAGTCACAGCACCCCAACGGGGGCCCCAGCATTGGATACTTTTCTCATTTTAAGGCCTCCTGTCAGCATTGTAGTAGGGACCCCAGTCAAATATAATCCCCTTAGTTGTCAGATAAGGAAATGGAGATCCATTCAGGTAAGGAAATTCTTCAAGTCTTCTGATCCACATTTATACGGCAGTGTTTTGTTTCTTCATTAACAAGAGGTAAAAATTAGTAAGAGTGAATGCTTTGGGGCCTGCCTCTTAGTGTAGTGATTGAGTGCTGTGTGGAGGGAGTTGGTTTCCACATGGCTGACCATGGTCTAATCCTGATCTCTGAGGACTGCAGAACAAGCCAGGTATAAATGGATATATGCCCCAAATCCTGACGGTGTGGAGAAATGGAGGAAAGGGATTGCAGTGTGACAATGGCCCTACCACGGGTACTTTCTCTCTCTCCCTCTCTCCCTGTCTCTGGTGAGTGTATGTGTCCTCTGGCAAGTAAAGAGAGAGAGAGAGAGACACTAAAGAAGAAAAGTGGGAGAGAGGAAAAGAAGGAAGAGAAATAAGGAAAAAAGGAAGATAAATAAGCTTTTATTTAGACCCTATGATTTTCATGTAAGTCGGCCACTTTTCCCAGCAATGACACTGAGATGTCAGATCCTGTTTGACTCATACTCTGAACATAGGGTCTAACTGGTCCTAGATATGGATGTTTAAATGTATCTGGGGAAACAGGCTACTGTCTAGACTTGAACCTCTGCTTAACTCCTGGTTGGTCTCTATTTTATAGTAGTGTTTACCAATACTGCTGAAGATATTTTGCTGAAGATATCTTGCTGAAGATATTTTGCTAGAAAATCATTAATTCAAAAAGGGCTTATCTCATCACTTGGACATCCCCATACTTTATTTTTAGGAGCCAATCTTTTAAAACCAAGAAATCAAGGGACCAGCAGTTAGCGTAATGGCTATGTCGCTGGACTCCCATGTAGTCGACCGCGGCTCGAGTTCCGGACCCGGTAGCTTAAAACTCACACGGGACGTGTATGCGTGCGTGCCCAAGATCCCGAGAGGAGAATGGAGGAGAAGGGATTGCAGTGTGGCCATCCCCCCTGGGGGGTGATTTCTCGCTTTCTGTCTCTCTGTCTTCCTCTGTCTGTCTGGCGAGCACACGCACCCTATAGCAAAAACCTCTCCAAAATAAATAAATAAATAAAAATAACCCAAGAAATCAAAATCCTTCTTCAAAGTCATATTCCGACCCAGGAGAACTATTAAATGCTTACATCTATTAGCTAGATTAATTTCTATGTATACTGTGATGAAAATCTATAGCTTTATAGAAAAGTATTACTGATATACTATTAATATTATACTGACAGTTTCTCAGTGGTTTTTTTTTTCTTATTGGGCCTATTAATTCTATAATTTAAGTTGATAATTACCATTTTGATCAAGTATAAAGATTTTGAGTCAGATTTTGCTGTATATGTTAGTGACCTTTGATACAACATGATGTTTTATGTAACCCTTCACAAGAATACCAACACATAAATAATAATGATTTATTTAATAACCCATAAATATTTATAAAAACTTAAAAGTTCAAATGAGTGCTACTTGATGAGATATTAGTTGAGGATAACAAAACATTTAAAAATCAAAGTAATTCTAGACCTCTTTTCAGCTGACCATGGTTTGCATGCTGACCACTGATGTATAGAGTTATTCATTGCTTTTACAAAAAAAAAAAAAAAACTCTTAATGACTTTCTTTTTTAAAAGTAATGGGAATTGATTTCAATAGTTACGTGGTTCCTAGGCAAAAAGCAAGGATAAAGAGAAATTATATTAAGAATAAAATGTGTCTCATGTTATAGAATGCTTGGGGTGAATGAGTAAAGAAGAATGAATCTTAGGTGATAACTCTTGTTCATTAGTTCATCCCCCATACACGCCTCAGCCTCCATTTGGCTTTAGAAGGTCACTCAGTCCTCTAACACTTTGTGGGGCATTTTCCTCATCATATTCCCACACATTCAGAGATGTCATTCCTATCTAACAGCCCCTCCTCCAAATTTCTTATGAGATACTGTTTGTCTTGGAGAATCCCACTTTCAAGTATAATCTCAGCATACTCTCACCAAGGCCTGTGGAAACTGGGGCATTAATATCTAAGGAATTCTGCTGAAATGACTGACTCTACCATAAATCCCATCTTGGTTTTCATTGAGAAGTTCTCTCCAGCCACTTCCCAGTGCTGCCTGTAGGATGATGCACTATCCTCAGAGGAGAAAGAGAATGAGGTGTGGGCTTGTTTTCTATAATTAATCCCCAACAACTCCACTCCTATCTGCAAAAAAGCCTCAGAGTCCCCATATGAAGAGATTTCCCTTTTCACTCCAGTTGAAGCCTCCTGGAGGGATCCATATGGTTGCAAATTGCTTTTGAAATTGAAACTGCTTAGGCAGCAAGAAGAACAGCTTCTCATAGCCTTGGAGAAAATGCCTGCCCTTAATAATGATGGAAAAGACTCTTCTGCTTCCAATTTATTTGTCAGAAGTAAGAGGAATTGAGCTCATTTAACTTTCTGTTACTAAATTTCTTCAAAATGTCTATGCATCTACATATTCAGGAGGAAAATGTCAATATCATGAGCTTTCAGGATGAGAAACTCTAGAGAGTTGACGCAATAAACTGTCCAAACACACATTTGAAAAGAAATGCAAAGGAATTTATCATTGCTGAAAGTAGCTTCAATATGAATATCGAGTCCCTTTCCTTTGACATTTTATTGATTCAGTATCTGCCTTAGAAGGTTAATTTGGTGCCTTTTCTAGACCAAGAACAGGAAGTCAACGCAAGAAAGAATTGTTATTATAAGATGTCCTTAAAATGCAAAGTTATATCTTTAAACATTTTATTCAAAATTTGTAAATATTCAAGATAAAATTGATACATACACATTTTCATATAAGACAGTCAAAAGACAGTTTTGTTTTAAATTTTTGTCATAGGGCATGTGCACTCACAGGAGAGAGACATAGAGAAGGAAAGTGAGAAATCATCCCCAGAAGGGATAGTCCTGCCACAATCCCTTCTCCTCCTTCTTCCTCTTGAGATTTTGGACATGCATGCATAAGCACCAGGTACAATTTTTCAGACCACCAAGCCTAGGACTTGAACTACAGTTGACCATGTGGGAATCCAGTGCCTTAACCACCACACCACCTGCTGGCCCCAAAATAGTTAGTTTTTAAAACATGACTCATTTCTTAAATACATTAAAACTGTATATTCTGTCACTCTTCACTTGAACGTTTTATAATGATGGAGAGAGTCTATATCTGTGCTATTAACTATCACACTAGCCACACATGGCTATCGAGCTCTTTAAATACAGCTGATGCAACTGAAGAACTGTATTTTAAACTTTCTTTACTTTTAGCACATTTCAATTCAATAGTCATGTGTGTGTAGTGATTTCTGAATTGGATAGCACAAATCAAGTCCCACATTGCTTTCCCTTGAAAATAAAATCAGTGTTCTATATATTATTACCTATGCCATATTCCTATGAGACAGTATGTATTGATATTATCTGCTATAAGAAGCTAAGGGTAAGAGCCAGGTGGTAGTGCAGAAAAAATGCTACTAGAGCCACGTGGGGAACTTCCTGAGTTCATGTCCTGGGTCCTGCCTGAACATATCAGCACATGCCTGTGCCCACAATCCCGGCCGGCTGAAATTGAAAGTAGATTATAGCATGAAAGACCCTGTTGAGGGTGCCTGTCTTTCTGTCACTCTCTCTTCCTCTCTCTGTCTCACTTTCTTATGGAAAAAATAAATAAACAACAACAAAACTCAGTCTGTTTCCATATACTCTTCATGATGAGATAACTACATAGTAACTAAAATAATTTTTTAAAAAGAAGTTAACAAGGCCTTCACAACCTAGTGCTTAGAGAGACAGATCCCACATGGCTGACTGCAGTTCAAAACCTCATCCCTATGGTTTGAAAAACCAAATCCAGAGCACATGCCTGCATGCCCCAAATCCAAACTGGATATAGATATGGAGGAGAAGGATTGCAGTGGTCCATGCCCTGTTGAGGAGTTCTTGCTCCCTCTTCCTCTTTCTGTCTCTCTGTTCCTCTCTGGCAAGTGAACAGGTCCTCTGACAATTGAAATAATTAATAATAATAATAATAAATTAACAGTAAATTCTGCAACATTTTCTAGAGGGACTCTCTAGGATTTTCTAGAGAGAGACCTGCAATTCTTTCTCTGCAGCTCCTTTTTCTCCTGTTGTGTTCTGTGAGCTCTAGTAACTTTGGTCTCTATTACTTAGAATAAAGGAATCAGGACTCCCCTTTTCTACACTTTGCCTGGTAAATCCTCCTAGAGCCACAAAACTGGGAGTTTTAACCCAATATTCACCACGATGTTCTGGATGGCTTGATGACATTCTGACCAAGCTTTCCTGCTTTTCTGTCTAGCATACATGTATGCTCGCTACAAATACTTCTGTGGATATTCAGAAACTGTTCCAGAAAGGATCTCTAGTGTCCAATGACCCCTGAGGATTTTATTCTCATTGACATCTGTCCTAACAACTGCAGGAACAGCCTCCTGGATGAGTTCCTGGACCTTGGTATCACCAAAAACTAAGATAGTATTCCTACTATTCCCCCTACGTTCAACTTTAGCGTTTCAAATGTTGATTCTACTCTGAAGATAATGTAGTGTTATTTGTTAAGTTTTTTTAAAGTCTTTAAGAAAAAAAGTTAACAGTAGAAAATATCTGTAAGAAGTAACAACTCCAGAAATTCCAGCCAAATCATGGCAACTCATGAAAAAGTTCTAATAATTAGAAATGCTTCAGTTTTAGTTCTGTAAAAGGACAAATGCAATTAATGTCAAATTTGATGCTGCTTTGGTGTGGAGTACTAATTACTGTCTTGGCTATCCTTTGATGGAGATCACAGTAACGACTTAGAAGAAATAATACCTTGTTTCTTGTGGCAGCACAGAAGTGATTGCTCTAAAGAGGAAGACAATTCAAAGATTAAGGTTATAAAGTTTAGTGTAAAACCAATTAATTGTCTTATAGAATCTTGTCTTTTCTTCTAATGTTTTGTCCTGTGACTTCTGAACAGAATCAGTCTTCAGTTCTAAAGCGGTGATGCTTTCCCTGAAGAACAGCCTATTCTGAAGGTGCTGCCAGGACAGGGAGGTAAAGAGTGAATGGCAGCAGCTATGGCCCCACTGAGCTGGGTTTGTGGCAGGAAAAAGGCACTGGAGGAGGCTTGGCTTTGGCTGCACATCAGCCCATTTTCAGTGCTGGCCCAAGTGAGAGCTGAAAGCACTTCCCTGGGACAATCTGGATTCTCCATGGGAGGAACAAGCCATATGCTTGCCTTGAAAGAAACC